TTCTAACACTCCTTGCTGTCCTAGATGCCTCAACGGACTCAGATGGCCGTGTGGAGGCTCTGATGAGGACACTCACTGGAACCTCAGCCCATAGATGAGCTCAGGCACGTTCAGGGTGGTATGGCCATGGACAACCTCAGCCTATAAAGAGAGGGCAAGCCCCCTCGCTGAGCTCACGCAAGCTGGCCGCTTGCTACAGTAAAGGACCTGTGCAGTGCTGGACATATCCAAGTGAGATGAAAGTCACCACAACAGTCACCATGCTAGGTGAAGGAAGTCCCATCCAGGGCAGCGACTGACATGAATCCCCTGGAGGGGACTACCTGACAAGGACTGTAAAGCTGCCATCTTTAACACGCCTCAATGACCATTTACAAACTCATTTGGTGATGCAAATGGACGGTGCTTTGTTTAGCAGGGATCCGTGTGTTACTGACACACATTGAAGGCTATTTCAGAAGCAGCATGGGGAAACGACCATGGTCAAATCACACAGAGAACACTTTGCACCTATGAAAGTATTCGTGAATTTGATGTGTAAGCATTTAAGACTGGTTTCTTTACAAAGAATGATGGTGTTATCAGAACAAATTCCAAATAAGGGCCTATGATACATTATTAAGAGGAAGATCTGTTTAGTGCTGAAAGTGTTTCAGGGTGTTTTTCAGAGTTCCTAGAGGCTTATAAATTTAGCTAAGTGTTGAAATTATCTCATTGTATATTTTACAGATTCTCTGAAATTATATAAGTTCCCAAATATTGTTCAAACCTCATTTACTGGTATCACCTAGTAGTTTTTTGATAATAAAAATTTTTTAAAGACCCTACAAGTGCCGTCAAAATCCAGTTAGAAATGGTGGGTTTTTTCTTACAACCAACCCAAATAAATGGTTAGACCATCTTAAGATTCTTGTGACCTCTTACATTCAAGGCTAAAACCAGCAAATAAATGTGTGAGGAAGGAAATACGCTTCCCATAATATGAAATGTGAGATAAAATTAAAAGCTTTTACTATGAGTGCTTTATAACTACAATGCTAATTATATAGCATTTATATATATAAAATCTCTCCTCCAGGCAAGGACAATGGCTTATTCCTTCTTTTCTCTGCAGAGTTCTACCATAGTATTTTGTATTCAATAATTATTTCTTCAAAGAATCAAGCAAGGAAGCTTCCAGAGAACAAACAATAACTTTTAATAAACCTTGGCTCAGAACCAGAGCTACATCAAGTCTGATGTGTCCTGACTGGGAAATTCAGGTTCACGAGCTATGAAATTATGAGAACGATAAGATGGAGAAAAATAGTTTGAATTATGTGATTCCAGAGTTCAAAAGATCTAATTTCTACTTGGTTTGATTTCTGATCATCATTTATAATGTCAATGGGCTTTCCATCTAGAAAGCTTGAATGCTATTTTAATGTAGAAATCTTTGTCTTTATTTCTATCAGAAAATGCTCAGGTATTCCTTCAAAGAGCTTGTGTCCATTGGCTGACTCTTGGGATCATATCAAAGTTATATTTAGTGATGGCTTTCTTTTGGATTTCCAGCTATCCTTTAATAAAAACAAACAAAAAAACTACTAGAACAATTTCTTTCACTTGGGACCAGAAGGAAAATAGCAAGGAGAGGAAAAGCCACTTCCACGCATGGCCTGGGGCTGTGCTGAGGACCTTGCAACAAGGATGGACTATGCCAGCACCAAGGAAGATCTGGTTCCTTATCTGCTAATCCACCCAGAGCCAGAGCCTCTGCTGCTTGCACAGATTTTCAAGGTGGATGTTGAAAACCCATACTCTGCGCTGCTGTCCCAGTGTCTCTTGACGTAAGGCAATCTCCTGTTAGTACCAGTTAATAGCTGTGGAGGCCAGAGGGAAAGCAGGCAAGGCAGTGTCTCCCCACACAGCTCTGCAAATTAGATTTGAGAAAATTGTCAATCTATATTCTCAGAGAGAGCTCAGTAGAGATTTGTTAAGTAAGTTATTTAATTTTCTTTTGAGTCTTTCATTCTGTGCAAATAACCTGAGCAAATTCATCCATCTCTGAGGAAGGCTGGGGTCCTAAAAGAACTCCTAAAAGTTCACGTAGCTTTTTGTGTGTGCATACCATGAAAAATTGAGAAAAATAGAAAGAAACAGGAGTTAGAATTATAAAATCCCCATTTGGGGTTAGCATCTTGACCAAATTTCTTCTAAAAGTCAAGGTCTCAGTAGACTCGCATCAGCCCCTCTGCAAGGGAAGGGATAAGCTATTAGGTTAAACATCGTAACTGCCCATCTGCCAGAAAGGAGGCTTTCAGTGCTTATTTCATTTGAAACCTGTGCCATGAGAGCCTGTGATCCTGTATTCTATCATTTAACTAACTCTGGTGTATCTGTCATTTCTCCAATTACATTATAAACTCCATGCTGAGAATAACGTGTGGTGGATAAGAACTCAAAAGAATTTGTTGATGTGTTGCTTAAAATCACCTGTTAGTTCCAGAAACTAGCTGGAACTCACACTCTCCTTTTCCTGGAGTTTGGTGCACGAGGAAACACTTTGGCTCTCTTCCTCTCCCGAAGCTGATTAAATGCCTACTGGTCCCCGTTACGTTATGCTTCCCAAAGGGCAGCTCAGTGTGATGCACTTGGCCATTTAGGTTTTCATTTATAGATTGGAGCTATTCAGAAGAATTCCTAATAACACTTATGTCACCATAATACATAGTTCACCATCGCCATCTTCACAACAAATAGCATTAAAAAAATGAGTGGATGATTCTAGACTCCTAATAGTCACCTAAGGGATTTTCCAGGGTGTTACCTTGTCACATGTGTATTTTAAATTTTGCACTTATTTAAAAATTTCTCTCATTTATTTTAGTGACATCCTTTGTCAAGTGAGATGTGATGGTAATAATAAAGCTGCTTTACTGGTGGGTTACATTTATCAGCAACCAGAGCCTCCATGTGCATTATTTCATTTTTCATCTTACCACGGGTGGGGAAAGTTTATTGTACACATTATATATCTGTGAAGACAGAAGTACAGCAAGGTAAAATGACTTCCCTCAGGGTCACAGAGACAATAAATAGCAGAGCTGGAGCCAGAGACTCCATCTTTGACTGCCAGCCACTTTCCTAGCTACTGCTTAACTGTGTACGAATACTGTCCCAGACTGGTGGGGTTCCTGATGCTTCATCTGAGGCTGGCCACCAACACAGGTGCCTAAGGCCCCCTCCTAGGACTCTGGGCTTTCAAAGGTAAAGAAATGAAAATTTTGTACAATGATTTGGCAAAAAAAAAAGTATTTGGTGAGAATTTGGGGAAACAGGGACTTTCGATTCCACTGTAGCAGAGGAATAAATGCACATGGTTGTTTCTGGGGCAGTTGGAGAAGTGTAAGGATGTAAATGAAGATACTTCTCACCCTTGAAATTCCTGTGCTGCAAGTTTCTTGGAGGCAAATGAATTGACTGTGGTGGGTGGCACTGTACAGCTGCTTACAAAAACCAAAGCATGGATGATTTCAGAAGCCTAACAGTAACCTAATTTTATAGGTTATTACCTTACTGCATTTGTAATTTTGACTTTGCACTTATGTAGGGGTAGGGGTGAAAAGCAAATGTCCCTTGGTGGGAATCAGTTAGGATCACAGCAGAGCCTCATGCAGTGATGGGTAGATTTCTGGATCAGTAGCCTGGGAATCAGGAGGTTTGGATCACACAACCTGCCAAAGCCTCGTCTTCATCACTGACAGGAGGAGGACGTCATCAACCCACAATGTGCAGGACTGTGGTGAGGACTAGAAAATGTCACGTTCATTAAGCAGTCAGCACGGAGTGTGCAAGAGATGCGTTAACACTCAGCTGTGTGACATTACCTCTGCTATTGTTGTCACCATCAAACATCGTCAGCCAGGAACATAGTTTTGATTACTGTTAGTGGTAGTTGGAATGGATCAATGACAAGATGAGTCAGAAATAGATGCTTATCTGTAAAGATGTCCAAAATACAACCAGTGAAGCTGGATGGCCCCATGTAGCCTAGGCTGGGCCCGGTAATAGTTACAAGCACACATGGTCAGGTACATCCAATGTGTAATCCATACCAGGGGGACAATGTGCCCATAATAGCTCTCTTTGGTGTCACAGTACTGTGCTGAGGTTCTCAAGGGCAAACTGACTCCCAGACAGAGAGAAATCTGCACCAATATAAACACTCCCTAAAGCACTGCAGCCTGCTTTCACTTACTGAGATGGTGTCAAGTCTACTATGTGGTATAGCTGAGGAACAGAACAAGAAGGCATTTTCCTCTATGCTCAGAACATTGATCAATGAGGAAGGGTACCCCTGAATTATAGTTTTGGTTTTGATAAAACAAGTCTGATAAGGACTGCCAAAAAGTGTGTGGAAGTGGGCGTCCAGGGTGAGGAACTGGAGAACAGACTGACTGCACTTGCGGGATGAGTGGAGGGGTCCCCCTGGCAACAGCTGTGAATAGAGGTCCCTCTGATGACAGCTGTGAATGGAGTGGTCCCTACAAAAGTAGCTGCACCATGCTCTTCCTGCCTGGGCTGAGACTCAGTATTGAGCTCTGGAGACAGGCACTGCGGTGCCCCAACACTGTCTTCCCGCCGTCTCTGCTTCTTTTCTCTGTAATGCCGCAGGGTGTGAAGATCTCAGGAAACGTGACATTTTTCAGAAAACCCCACTACTTTCAGAAACACCTGGCAGTATGATACCAGAGGGAAGTGAAAGCAGAGGTGCAGAAAAATCTCATTCCTACTCTCTGTCTTTTCTGTGCTCTACTGGGTTTTTGTTTTGGTTTGATTGTTTGCCATAAACACTTTGCTTTTTAAGTTTGGGAGAAAACAGCTGAAATAGGTAAAAGTAATCTTCAGCTAGTTCTCACGCAAAATCGGACTGCATACCATGAGGACAGCAGTATATGGTGCTTATTAAACATCCGAGAGTCCACACTTGCCCATGAGAAGAGAAGCGACATACTCACACATACAAGACGGATCTGGTGTCCCCCACCTTGCCGGCATCCCCGACTGTCAGGGTGTCATACCCTCTTTCCAACTCGAACTCTTCAAAGGCAAGTTTGATGACCTAAATCAAAGACACAGAGTCATTATTTTGTGTAACAAAAACTTTCCATAACTTTCAACATTGTAAATTTGTAGTTGAAGTATAAAATTTTGCTCCTTAATTCCAGTGTATTTCAAATGATTCCCAAGCTTCTTTAAATAGCTACATGATAATTGTATAAGTTTGGGAGTCTTGAGTTATAGAATTTTATGGAATTCAAAATTTATATTTGTTTCAAGTTATTTATTATCAGCAGTAAAATGAAATTTAACCCTGATTGCACTTTATTACAAGTATCCATGAAATCTTACCATTTATGGTGTTTTTGCTAACCAAAATAAATCAAAGTAAAAGAAATGTTGATTACAGTGCATGAGGGACATTGTAAGGATTCCCAGAACACCCCACAATGAGTATTTATTCTTAAAGTTATATTAAAGATTTCATGGAATTATCACTCTTTACATATGGAAAAGACTTTCCAGGGCTGACAGGTGGTCCTCTTCAACACTCAGCTCTGCAAAACCTTTGAGTTTCTTTTCTTCTTTAAGTGTTGAGAATTGAACCCAGGGCTTCCTGCATGCTTGGCAAGTGATCTACCACTGAGCTACACCGCCAGCCCTCATATACATCAAGAATCTTTGTCCTATGGTCAACAACATGCACTGTGTCAGAGTACAGATATATGAACTTCTGCAGAGCACAGGATCCTTCTCTGAAAGAAGAAATACTTCCTTTGTCAATTAACATCGTGGTCAAGAAGGAAGATGTTCAAGGCTAAACCCTGAGTAACAAGCTGTACAAAGAAAGAGGTAGACACAGATCATCTTAGATTGACAGATGTCAAATTGATAGACAGATAGACTGAATAGAGAGATACACAGACAGATGGTAGACTGATAGATGAAAGATAAAAATAGATAGAAGGATGATAGATGGATATATGATAGAAAACAGATAGATAATACATAGATAGATGGTAAATAACATATAGATGATAGATTAGATAGATAAATGATTGGAAGGATGGATGGATGGATGGATGGATGGGAAGAGAACAAGATAGTGAGACTTGAGTGGTAGGAGGAGGAAAAGGAAGGGAGACACACAGAATAGCAAAAACAGAGACCATTATGTTAGATGCACATGTTAGGAAGGTATCTCTGAGTAAAGGTGAAAGTCTGAAACCTTGTTGAAAACTGTAAAATGCCTGTTGGTTAAATTTGAAAGAAAAGAGGAAGTGGGATTGGGAACTTTCCACGAGTGCTCAATGTGCATGGTTTGAACAGGCTCTGAACAGGTGCCTTTCCAAGCAATGCTAATAAGGAGTACATTATTTTTGTTATTTGAAATTCCTACTAAAATTAGTGATAAAGTTGTTATAATTTATTTTAAAAACCAGTATTTCAAATTGCAGTTTCATATGAATACCTTAGTCTATCAATCTGACTTGACACAGGTGTACGGTTGATAGCTGTCAAGAACCAGTATAAATACTGCATATTAAACCTGGCACCTGATCATAGTTTTATTTCTGTTTTCTCTCTTCTGGCTGCATTTATAAGTGGCCAGGGTCCCACAGTTTGAGGACACAGGAACTAGAGTGTCATCTGTGAGACTGGCTTTCCAGGCACTTTCCCACCCATTGCTCATCTTTGACTTATCACCCTGAAGCTAAGGCTTCCGAGTGGCCTGACTGGTGTATGGTGTCACAAGATGGGAGGACCACCTACTCCAGTAGGCAAGCATGGCCATTCTGCAATTCTTGCAGCTAAGCCTAAGGGTGTAGAGGAAGTCTCTGAAGTGTTTTGTCCCATGGCTGGCAGGGCTGTTGTCAGATGGAAAGTTTCGCTTGTGCTCCCTAGGAAGTGCAAAGGTGGGCGTCTAGTCCAGTGAGCAGCCTGAGCGTGTGGAAGTGCCCTTCTGTAAACTTGTCAACCTAAGCGGCTATGAAACAGACTTGCATGTGTTTTAACTATGCTGCTAATGCTTCCTCAGAAAAAGGCAGCCAGAGAGGCAAAGACCCTCGGGAAAAGCCTTAGGCTGTGAATGGTAGTGACAGTTAGCTTGGGTTCCCTGCTGGGAGCTGCCTGTCCTTTCCCTGTTGAGGCTGTGTTTCCCTGGGGTACTGGCCCTGCTGGTTCTGCACAAAACAGTCTCCCTGTCAGCTTCTGTCTTTGTTGCGCAGCCTTCCAAGGTTTGGAACTTGGAGGCCTAAGCAGCAGGTGAGGGTCACGGAGAGAATCACAGGATGGCACACTGCTAGGTTTTCAACACCAAACTCCGTCAGGAGTATTTGGGTAGATACAAAATAGTATTACAATCAATGTTCTTCTGACAATCTACAAAACTGCTCACATTTTAACCTCAAAATTCAATCACAGCCCTATGAGAGAGAAAAGCCACTCAGTCTAGACTTTGGGGCATTTCAAGTAAATCCTTGGTGCTCAGTGTTTGTAATAATTCCTATCTTTGTTTCACCAATTCTCAGAGCATCGGTGTAGTAATTAAGTGGTCTCTCTTTCCCCTGCCTTTTCATATCCACTGTACAAAGCTCTGTGGCTCTCATGGGGATAAACATTACTTCGAAAGTATTTAGACATTTATAAATAGGATATTTCTAAAAACATATGGAAGACTTATATCTCAACCTTTTTAAGGGGAAATGTCAAATGACACCATCATGTAAATGCTATTCTCAATTTGACCCCGTTCCAATGGTTTTACCTTCTGCCAACACTTAAAACATTTGAGTTCTAATCCTCTACCTGACTTTCCTGTGTCGGGCCTTATCTGAGCTTCTATTCGCTCATTCCCCAGTAAAACAGTGGATGCTCACGACCCACCCTGCCACAGATGGGACACTGGACACGCACAGCCATCTTCACCCGTGCGTTTTGAGCACACTGTCACAAACACTCCCGCTAGTGGTATGCTTAGCTACCTAGTGCTCGGCTAAATAATGAGGCACTGGTCCAGTTGTCCAGATACCCTGGCTCCTCTCAGCACAAGACGCCATTGTGAGACTAAGGGTCACGTTGGATTGAGTAACTACAGAGGCTGAGGATGGAGCCTGGACGGGCTTCAAAGACGTTCCCATCTCACCTTCCCCACTTACTATTTACCTCTTACTGTTCCCAGCCGCGTGCTGGAAGTGAGGAGCCATAGGTCACGTAGGATGGAATCACAGTAAACCAACTCACACTCTGTGTATGCCTGTGACTTACAATTAACCCCGACCGTACAAGTGAGCTACACACCCGCATGTAAAAGACTTTTGGTTAAACAAAAAGGAAAACCAAAATGGTTATGACAATTAATAAATTAATTCATTACATTATAATAAATGTGGATATAATATGAATATATTAGCAAATAAGTAAATAAAATAAACAAATAAGTAAAGCAATACTATCTCTTTTTTGCCACTGTGCTAATAGGACTCAAAAGGAAAGATTTTCTGAATACTGCACACCAAGCTTTGTTTTATGAAAAAGAATAAAGCTCTTTGTAAAGTAAGTCATATATTTTATTTATTGAACAATGCTAGCTTTTGATCAGAGCCTGGGCAATTTGTTTTCTATAGTTTATGCCAAAATCTACACAAAACCCCTCCAAATCTACACAAAAGTTCCCTCGGCCTTCTTGTTAAGGGAATGGAGAGGGATTTAAACAGAGAAAGAGAATAGCTTTCTTACTTCCTCTGACCTTGGCCATGGGAGCGCCCATGCCCTTGACCTTGGCAAACCTCATTCCTAAGTGGCTGCCACCCTTGGGAAATCTCTGCTACTCACAGTCTCTGCAGTGCCGCCTTGCGTCCAGGTTCAGAATGCGCTAACTGAGCGACAAGCTGAAACAGCTGCAAGAATTCACCCCAAACCATCCACCTCGCAGGGCCGGGCTCCAAAAAATTGCAGTGTGTGGAATATTTAAGATGTGCGTGCTTCATTTGACTGTGTTGTGATAAGGTCTGGATGTTTGCTGAGTTCCAACCCCTAAGGAGACGGTTTGGGGAGGTGGGGCCTTTTGGAAGATTAGGTCCTGAGGACAGAGTCCTGAAGAGTAGGATTAGTGCCTTATAAAGGAAACCCCAGATGGCTCTGCTCCTTCCTCTTTGGGAGGCCAGTGAGAGAAGGGGTCACCTGGACCAACGAGGTGCCCTCCTCAGAGACTGTGGTGCTGGCCAGGGACCTCAGACTTCTAGCCTCTGGACCTGGGGGAAATCAATGTCTGTGGGGGCCCGGCCATAAATGACTAAGAACGTCCTGCTCCAGGTCAGGCTCAGCTGACAAAGTAGTTTCCAATGTTTTGCAAAAAGTCAAGGAGCACCACTGGTCCTAGCTTTATGGAAAGCTGAAACTCAACGTGTTTAAGACAGGCTTGGGCAGCAATTCTATGCCTTTCTTGATGGATGTAGAGTCTTTGGACAGCATAGTTCAGTGAGCAGTTATTTTTCTTAAGCTGCCTTATTTTGTCTTATCAGCATTTTGAATTTACCATTGATTTTTTTGGGGGGGGTGCTGGGATTTGAACTCAAGGCTTTTCACTTGCAAAGCAGGGGCTCTAGCAATTAAACCACACCTCCTGTCCCTTTTGCTCTGGTTATTTCAGAGATGGGGTCTTGCTGGATGGAGGTCTTGAGCCACAATCCTCCAGATCTCAGCCTCCCAAGTAAATAGGATTGCAGGTGTGAGCTGCAGGCACCTGCCTTGTCATTGATGTTTTCAGATCTTTCCAGAAGCACTTTTCAAATTGGGGAAGGTGCTTCATGGCTACTCAAAGGTGACAAAAATCTGGGAGTCTAATTGTTTCTGAAGACCCATGGAATTAAGTGTTCTATGTGCTGACTGAGTTTTGGGTATAAGATTTTGTCACTTAATTATTCAGCACTATTTCTTGCTGTATTTATTTTATAATAATTGATAGAGTGACATAAAGTACTCATATAAGCTGAGAGCTACATTTTATCTCCTCTCCAATCTATAATAAACACTAACCCACTTAACTAGGAACTTGGAAAC